AATTCTTATAGATATCATCATCTTTCATATAATGTAGAAATGTTTATATAGCAGAACTTGTGTGAAAATTCTTCTTATTCAGTTAGCCCAAAAGTCATCTAAGTGAGATATATTTTAAGAATTTTTTAAAAAAGAAAACCAGTTTGAAATGGTTGCAAAGTAAACTAATAATGATGGTTTATTTCCAGACAATAGTTACATCAGCACATTAAATAAAAGTATGAATCACACTTCTGTCCATGCAATTTTTACATAAATAATCACAAATTATGTAACAGGTAATCTGAAATTATTTTACTTTTTCCAGCATACTTTTAACTATTTATAAACACTACTTTTTTTATTTAACTTTATTCATTAATAAATTTAATATCTCTTTGATTGTGAAACTTTTAAACTTATAAAATATTAGATTTAATGGATAAATATCACTAATTACAAAAATATTTTTTGATATATTATAACTATTTGAAAATGGTTACATTATTTATAAAGCTTCATTTCTTAAATTATGTAAAATACATACCTACTTTTGCCAATTCAGCTATGAGTTCACCAATTTTGGCAGTAAGAGGAGGAGATAATTTTTCAGATTTTAAGAGACAAATAACAGTGCTTACAATACCAGACTGTATTAAATGTTCAACAAGTGCTTGTCTATTAGAACCTAGATATCAAGAAATAAATCATGATTATATAGCATCTAAACTAATAATTAAAAAAAGTACCTGATAACGATATCAATTGAGTGTCAGCTAATTTCACTCAGCTGAATTAACATTAAATGCAAATTAGTTAAATTAACTCTTATTAATTTATTTGTTATGAAATTCTATCAAACAAATTCTTAAAATAAATATTATGAATCTGTTTATATCTATATCTATAAATGAGAATGTTTGTTTGTTTGTTCACTATACACTTCTAGACTGTTCAACCAATTGCTACAAAACTCAGTTACATTAACATACTTCTAACTTAAATAATGTCGTACATCACATCCCAAAATATTTGTTGGACTTTTATACAATTAATTTCAATTTACATTGGATTTGCTGGATTTACATGTAGTGCCATCTGTTTGAAAAAATAATAAATAAATGCTAATTGATAGTTTGTTGATAATACATTGTTAATTTTTTGATTGTTATTGCATTACACTTCATTACTGTGACAATGAAGTAATGCAAAGTAGACTATATTATTACTTTGACGTGAGGTGACTCCACACAGGCACACTCACCTGTATGGAGTTGAAACTGTTACACTGATAGTTGGTCATTGGTTTATGCATGGCCAACAGGTTGGCCACATACAATTTTCTGAGTTTTCTTCAAGTCAGTAACGTCAAAATAGCAGCTTGTTTCCATAAAACTATTCCCAGGAAGCATCCCCTCGGCATACTGGCCACATGTCACATTGCCTTAACCAAATAAACCAAAAAAATTGTAATACAGTAGAACTTCACTTAACGAGCACCTCTTATAACAAGTAATTCGCATAACAAGCAAAGCAAATTGTAAAAAATGACTCACATAACGAGCAACGTTTCACATAACGATTGATGAGAAGACGGGAAGTCCCAGATTGTGCACATGTTACATCAGTCTGTATTTAGCACTTGTTCCACTAGCATCTTAGTGTTGCTTGTGATCACACATTTTCCAAACTTGTGTTCACACATATTACATATAAACATCAACAACCATAGCCCATTATATAATAAACACACCAAACAATATGTCAAATTCTTGGACTATGTAAACGCTATAATTAAATGTTAGAAATGGATAATTTGACTAGAGGTAGGCAGTTATACTGCCATCGCATATTAAATTTAATGACCAATTCCAAATTAAATTTCGATTCTTTTTGTTTTCTGCAAACTGAATTCGCATTTCAGGTTGGTTCATTTTGCACTAGAAGAAAAGATGATGATGATTCACACTCCTTAACAATGTATATTGTATAATTTTCTTTGAATAAATGTTATACATAAAATATTTGAGTATCTTTTCGGTATGGAATGTATTACAGTCGACCCCCCTATAACGTGGGTTCCTATAACGGAAATTCCTATAACGTAGCANACTGAAAAAATAAAAAATATTTAACTGGTTATAACTGAAATATGGTTAAATAAAAATGAAAAATATTATTTTCTAAACTTTTTCTCAATGCTTTGCAACTAGAACTTTCAATCTTCAAGAAGTCAAAAACTTTTCATTGAAATGTTTTTGGAATTATGTTGCTAATAGTGCTGCTGGTCCCAAGGTATTTCAATGAACAGTTTTTGACATCTTGAAAAGTTTCAAAGTTATGGTTATATCCATTAAATGACTTTTAAAAAATAAAATTAGAAATCTCAAAACATATATATTACATTTACCATTATGTATTTCATTGTTTTATAATTTTATACTTAAAAATTATCCTACAGTTCTTACAGCTTAAAATTTATATAACAGTATATTTACATAAAATATTCTGATGCAACATGCAAATTCCTGTCAATGGAAGCATTTCTTTTCTTTTTAAAAAAATGCAAAAATAATCCTGAGCTCACATATGATTTCTTTTCTTTTAATTTATCAAGACAATTACAGCTGACATGATTTCTTTTCCATAGTTAAATTGATTGTATATATCACCAGATGAAGATTTTTCCATGAATATCTTAGATTTTGTTTCATGTTTTGTTTAATTGACTCATAAAAAAAAATTTTTTTTTTCAAATTATTTAATGGTTTTCACTCCATGAAGAAAAGATTTGCATACTTTGTCATCTAAGATTCTATAACACCAAAAGATCAATGGTGCATCCACATCAGCAAGTGAATCAATTTTTAATATCCGGTTCAAATATGCACAATAAGATTTGGCTGGTTTCTTTTCTTTGTAACAATTCTTTGTGGACTTGTAAACTGTTTATCTTCAATGAGAACTTGGATTCAAAACCTTTTTTTAAATGTCTTAAATTTTATATTTTTCAAAACCAACAAATAATTGGGCAGAGCGTCTCAAAAAGTCATTTTGCATAAACAATATTTTGTACATCAGTCCATCCACAATACAGTATTATCAATGCTTTGGTAATATCAATTTTCAGAAACTCAGTTTTAACACAGAAGAGATTCTGTTGCATTGAATACACAAAACATTCTATTTTTTATTTTAATAATGAAGTTGTAACTTGCACTGTACAGGATAAATTTTCATTACAAGTAAGATTAGAGTATATATATACATACAGTAGAGCATCGATTATCCGACTCAATTGGGGACTCAGGTTGGTCAGATAACTGAAAAAATCGGATAACCGAAAAGAACGAAAAAATACATTATTAATATAGTATATTAGCGTATCCCATGTAATTAGTATATTAGTATATCGCTATTAACCAACTTCGCATTGCATTTTCATTGATGTCAAGTCTAACAAATTTTTTTTAAAAATAATAATCGTCGTTATTGTGTCGTTAAAAATTATTTTTAAATTATGTTATTGCTCACAAAACAAACAACCACTCATAATTAGAAAATTAAGTCTCGTTTAAATACTGGCCTCCTTTCTATGGTTGAGCCGACGTTGCCAGCTAAAACACGCAAAAATTTAACAAAAATAATATTAAAGTAGCCAAGACATAGCCAAATATTGTAGTGCCACATCATTAGCGGACATTTGAAATTTGCCGACTAGAACGGTCGATTAACCGATGTGACAGTTAATCGGGGATCGGATAATCGATGCTGTACTGTATATATATATATATAGATCTGTTAATTTATAAAATGTATTTATTTATTAAATAAATAAATAAATAAAAATAAATAAATAAATATATATATATATATATATATATATATATAAATGGACGTGTGTGTCCCTATATTTCACTTTTCCGCCAAAACTACACATCGCACGTAAATGGTGTTTGTATGTGGTAGTAGCCCCAAGTCTCCATTCGTGCACTATGGGGGTTGCGTCTCGATAGCTATAAGGATGTGGGAGATATGGGGCTGAAAGTGGTTGAAAGTGGTTTTCTATTTTGAATTTTATGTTCGAATAATATTCAAATTACATTCAAACATAAAATTCGAATATTGGTTCGATTATAGAACGATTGTAAACGTTCCAGAAACGTTGAAAATAGTTCAATTTTTATGCCTTTTTGTCCATTTTAACTATTTATAATTTATTTTGTATACTAGTACTTTCTATATATTAACAGGACTTATTATACTGGAAAAATTATGGATGCAGATATCTAGTCTTACAGTTCAAAAATAATGTTCTTTATTTAGTTCACCTGTTAAATTTCTTATTTCTTCTTCTGTAAAATAAATTATAAATAGTTAAAAAGGACAAAAAGACATAATAATTAAACATTATTTAATAATCTATAGCTGAAATTCTGGAAAATTGGAGAAAGCAGAGAATGGGGAATACAGAAGAAGAAATAAGAAATTTAACAGGTGAACTAAATAAAGAACGTTATTTTTGAACTGTAAGACTAGATATCTGCATCCATAATTTTTCCAGTATAATAAGTCCTGTTAATATATAGAAAGTACTAGTATACAAAATAAATTATAAAAAAATGAAAATAGTTCGTTTGACTGAACGTGAACAGGAGACGTTCAGAAATAGAATCGGGACCAGGTCTCTAATTAGTCTGAAAACGGGGGACCTAATTCTTGCATTCTGTGAAAACGTGTAAGATTAGCTATAATGTAATTATCTTAATCTTCACTATCGTTACTTTTTGCCCACAAATAAAAACCCAGCAAAGCGGGTCCTTGCAGCTAGTATTTGTAATAAAATTTTAAAATTTATTTTTTTCTTTAAATATTATAACATTCAGAACTGACTGATTAGACTAAAATTAGATGTTGCTTGATCTTAAAAATTATTATAAAATAAATGTTAATTACTTTATTAACTTTCTAAATAAGCTTGTTTATAATAATCATATTAAAAAAACTGATGCATGTCTTACCATTATCATAACAGATATTAGCCAAGGCACGACACACTTGCAGAACTGTCTGATTATCTTCACTAGATAAGAGATCCACAAGAGGTCCAACCATACTTACGTCTGTACATGGTTTTCTAGCAATATCTAAATTACAGAAAAATGTTTATTTAATAAAAGTATTCAGCTAATCAAATAACATGTTTGATTAGTGTAATAAATTTGTGTTTTCATTAATAAAAGGTTAATGATAAAAAAATATGTTTTTTAAGATAAAATCTAAATTGCAATTTTACAGTAAACAGTAACAGTAAAATAAACTATTTATCAAAAATACTTGGATATTCCTATTGTATACTAAAGGGATGATTCTTGTCTCTTCAATTTGTTGTTGGACCAACTCTTGCTATTATCATGGCTACAATCTCCTAATATACATTCTACTAGTACAAGCTATACAGGTAACTTCATATTCCTCCACTGTTCTTGAAGTAAATTCATGCTCAACAGTTTAGTACACAATGTATTGGACTGGCCTGCACTCACAGCACCTGTTCATCCTACAAATTGGATATGTGATGGATATCAGGGTGTGTATATCATCTGTGGGGAGATCAGGATTCAGAACTGGCTAGTCTATCTGTTGATTGCAATTCTTTTCATAAAAGTATTGTTATTCTAGATGTAACAATCCTCATCTTCCTGTAATGAAATACATTCCTGCATTTCATTGTCCACTATTTCAGTATTTGTTTAAGATAACTTCAAACATTATTAAGAATCTGTGTGACATATCGACTGAAATCGTTCTACACTCTATTTGTCTATGGACACAATGAACTCAGGTAGCAGACATTTTTCCAATAATTGCCACATCCAAACACATGCATTTGACTAGGAAAATATAAATCTGGATTTGTCAATCCATAGAATGCATTTCCATTGTTTGATGGAACAATTCTGACACATTTTAGCTCATGACAGTTATTGTTAGATGCTTGTGTACAGTGTATCATAATAATGTCACATTCAAGCCTTGACCAACAGAAAGATGGCTCTAATTGCAGCTTGAAACTCCTGTCTTGTAGTGTCCATCATGTTTTGTTCTTCTATAGTTGCATGTACATTATTCTGTAACATCCTATCTATTAAGATTTAGGTTGATTAATTAATTAATTTATGATGTATTCTTAAAATTTCCTATATATTGCAATTAATAGAAGTATTAACTGTGAGTCAATTTAGAGTGCTACAATTTTTTGTTGTAACATGAATTAACAAGCCAACTAGGTGGCAATTAACAATGACACCCTTCTCGAATTCAGAGAGCTTGTTACTCATTGACAACTACAAAAATTCATATTAAAATAATGTATACTCAAGATGTTCCATTTGCCACCTATAATAGAACTGCACAGGAACAATGTATTTGTATTCTGCTGTCTAAAGAGTGAATAATTACTTTTGGTAGATAGTGTTTATTATAATTCATAAAAACATAATTAAACCAATATTTTACTTTCAATTTATATATTTCTATAGGATATGCAAAGAGAAAAATTTACATTTAAGTGAAAAATAAAAGATTGCTTTAGCACATTATTATAGATATGAAGAGACAATGATATTATTACAAATACCATTTTCATTCCCACTAGTACTGTAATGAGATGTTATGTCTAGATACACTCATGTTCCATTTAATTTTATAAAAATTTGATATTCAAGATTATTTATTGTTTTATAACGTTTAAAAATCGGAATAAGTTGCCATAAAGATATAAAAAATTTGGCATTATATTGAAGCATAAGACCTATTGAATAACTTTTTATATTTCCCAAACTGAAGAATCGAGAAATACATCTTTTTTCCTTTTTTCTTTATTACAGATTCACAGTTGTAATAAGTAAGTCTTCTAAAATTCTGATTGACAAGTCCCTTGTTTCATTTAATTAAAAATAGAATAGCATCATTTATACTAATATCTACTGTCAAATGTAAAAAAGATAAAATAGTTTTTTTTTATTTTGTAGAAATATCTTGTTTATTGTCAAAAATATACTGAGATTTTTAAATATTCTGACCTTTGTCATTAGGAATTTTATCTTTTTTAACTAATTTATAAATCAAAAAGTTACACAAGCATGATTTTTTCATTTAATGGTATTATACTTATCAACAGCTTCATTGTCTTCAAACCCATAACTTTTGTGTAATTATAAAAATTATTCTGATGAACCTCTAACTATATTTTACCCTCAAAAGCTAAATTGAACTTATCATTTTTACAAGAAACCTTAAAAAAACAATTATGGTATATATTTTAAGCATTTTATATACTGGAAAAAGGATCTTTTAATAATGAATATATAAATAAATACACACACTTGATATGTCATCAAATAGGAAATCTCTGTTCTTTTATTTTAACTTAAATCCAAAAATTTAACAATAATACAGCCTTATTAGACTTCTATTTTGTTATATCATCCATAAAATTCTTATAGATATCATCATCTTTCATATAATGTAGAAATGTTTATATAGCAGAACTTGTGTGAAAATTCTTCTTATTCAGATAGCCCAAAAGTCATCTAAGTGAGATATATTTTAAGAATTTTTTAAAAAAGAAAACCAGTTTGAAATGGTTGCAAAGTAAACTAATAATGATGGTTTATTTCCAGACAATAGTTACATCAGCACATTAAATAAAAGTATGAATCACACTTCTGTCCATGCAATTTTTACATAAATAATCACAAATTATGTAACAGGTAATCTGAAATTATTTTACTTTTTCCAGCATACTTTTAACTATTTATAAACACTACTTTTTTTATTTAACTTTATTCATTAATAAATTTAATATCTCTTTGATTGTGAAACTTTTAAACTTATAAAATATTAGATTTAATGGATAAATATCACTAATTACAAAAATATTTTTTGATATATTATAACTATTTGAAAATGGTTACATTATTTATAAAGCTTCATTTCTTAAATTATGTAAAATACATACCTACTTTTGCCAATTCAGCTATGAGTTCACCAATTTTGGCAGTAAGAGGAGGAGATAATTTTTCAGATTTTAAGAGACAAATAACAGTGCTTACAATACCAGACTGTATTAAATGTTCAACAAGTGCTTGTCTATTAGAACCTAGATATCAAGAAATAAATCATGATTATATAGCATCTAAACTAATAATTAAAAAAAGTACCTGATAACGATATCAATTGAGTGTCAGCTAATTTCACTCAGCTGAATTAACATTAAATGCAAATTAGTTAAATTAACTCTTATTAATTTATTTGTTATGAAATTCTATCAAACAAATTCTTAAAATAAATATTATGAATCTGTTTATATCTATATCTATAAATGAGAATGTTTGTTTGTTTGTTCACTATACACTTCTAGACTGTTCAACCAATTGCTACAAAACTCAGTTACATTAACATACTTCTAACTAATAATGTCGTACATCACATCCCAAAATATTTGTTGGACTTTTATACAATTAATTTCAATTTACATTGGATTTGCTGGATTTACATGTAGTGCCATCTGTTTGAAAAAATAATAAATAAATGCTAATTGATAGTTTGTTGATAATACATTGTTAATTTTTTGATTGTTATTGCATTACACTTCATTACTGTGACAATGAAGTAATGCAAAGTAGACTATATTATTACTTTGATGTGATGTGACTCCACACAGGCACACTCACCTGTATGGAGTTGAAACTGTTACACTGATACTTGGTCATTGGTTTATGCATGGCCAACAGGTTGGCCACATACAATTTTCTGAGTTTTCTTCAAGTCAGTAACGTCAAAATAGCAGCTTGTTTCCATAAAACTATTCCCAGGAAGCATCCCCTCGGCATACTGGCCACATGTCACATTGACTTAACCAAATAAACCAAAAAAATTGTAATACAGTAGAACTTCACTTAACGAGCACCTCTTATAACAAGTAATTCGCATAACAAGCAAAGCAAATTGTAAAAAATGACTCACATAACGAGCGACGTTTCACATAACGATTGATGAGAAGACGGGAAGTCCCAGATTGTGCACATGTTACATCAGTCTGTATTTAGCACTTGTTCCACTAGCATCTTAGTGTTGCTTGTGATCACACATTTTCCAAACTTGTGTTCACACATATTACATATAAACATCAACAACCATAGCCCATTATATAATAAACACACCAAACAATATGTCAAATTCTTGGACTATGTAAACGCTATAATTAAATGTTAGAAATGGATAATTTGACTAGAGGTAGGCAGTTATACTGCCATCGCATATTAAATTTAATGACCAATTCCAAATTAAATTTCGATTCTTTTTGTTTTCTGCAAACTGAATTCGCATTTCAGGTTGGTTCATTTTGCACTAGAAGAAAAGATGATGATGATTCACACTCCTTAACAATGTATATTGTATAATTTTCTTTGAATAAATGTTATACATAAAATATTTGAGTATCTTTTCGGTATGGAATGTATTACAGTCGACCCCCCTATAACGTGGGTTCCTATAACGGAAATTCCTATAACGTAGCAAAAAAATTGCGGCAGTATTCGTATAAAGGGACTCATAAAACGTCGTCGCCGACTCGTGTCGCGACAAGATTGGTCGAATCTGGACCATTAGTGGATGAGCAGCTGAACTACTTTCCGCCGTCCAGCGCCACGCTACGGAAAGTTTAGGCGGCTAAATTGAGTTTGCTATCGTCTGTACAGTATTATATATAAATTATATATAAATTAGGTACTGTACATATAATTATATATTAATTATATATAAATTAGGTACTGTATATATAATTATATATTAACTTAATTTATTGTAACTTTATTATAATTATATATATACTTTCCACCGTCAAGCGCCACGCTACGGAGAGTTTAGGCGAGTAAGTTGAGTTTACTATCATCTGTACAGTATGTAAATTAGGTACCATAAGTCTAATACAGCACTAATTTTATACATTTCTTGTGAAAGAAACA